TCTTAAATTTTCGGTTCGGATATCGGATTTGGATATCTGAAAAGACTATCCGACTATCCGATAACCTTATACGAGAGTCTGGGACGATGAAGATGATTAATCTCATTATTTTTTGTTTTTCTTTCTCGTGAGAACGATTTAAATTTAGGTTAATTTTTCACCTCCAAAATTCTCAAAATTTTTGCCTGCAGCGCTAAAAATGGAAGAAATCTGACTTATTTCCCTACAAAATCTCAATATTTTCGCTTGCGGTGCAAAAAAATCGGAATTTTTGGCGCCGAAGGCGCCAAAATTTTTTTTGGTAATTCCCGACTCCCGATCCCGACTCCCGAGGTCATTTCCCGACCCGACTCCCGTTTCCCGATTCCCGGGTTTTTTCACTAATGTAGGGTATTTGGGTGAGGGGGATTATTGTTTCAACTCGTCCGTAGCAGTGGGAATTAATCGAGGGAGGGGAATTATTCGAGGGAAGGGAATTAATCGAGGAGGGGAAAATTATTCGAGAGAGGGGAATTATTCGAGGGAGGGGAATTATTCGAGGGCAGGGAATTAATCGAGAAAATACGGTAACCGTCTTAACAAAATTTGTGTTAAGCATTCATATAATATTTAAATGACATTATTATATATTTTTATTCTAGAGGAATGAAACTGTCAACTTGTTTTATTTTTCTATTTTTAATTTTTATTTTATTTGATTTGAATAAATGTCGAAAATCTAACAAGTACAAAGGTGGAAAAAATGTTAAAAAACAAGAGCATACCAAATATGCTTCTAGTCGGATATGCAAGAATTTTTGTGAACGAAGCATTATTTTGGATAATGGAGTAAAAGATAATTTGACTGAAAATAATTTGAAACGTCCTAAACGTTCAACTCGCGAAGAATTAAAGTCGAAGAAGAAAATGAGTTGGAGTTGGCTTAAAAAATTGTGTTCATGTTTCGGTCTAAATTTTTATTTATATTAACTTGATTTTCACAATTTTCTAAAATAACCCTATTGACATTTAAAGAAAATTATAAATTAAAGTTGATGCTGATTTGGATGAAGCAATTGCACGATCACTTGGAGATCAGCAACGTTACCGGGAACTACATAATCGACCTGTTGCAATTAGAGGCACTTTTTTATATTATAAAAAATTTTATTTAAAAATTTTTAAGATCCCCGTCTGAAAATCCGCCAATTCATGTACCACCACCACCTCAAAATCCACAAGATAAAGAAAAAACGGTTGTTGAATATGTGCAAGGAAAATCCTCATCTTCTGATGATAATGGCGTATTTGTTAAAGATAAAGAAGGCAAATTACGTTTTGTTGGACAAAGTAGTGGTCAACAAGGAGGTTCTAGCCATGGTGAGGGAGACATTAGCTCTGGGGCAGAGACTCCGACTATCCCAAGTGAACCACCGTCCTTGGGGAAGGCTGTCGAGCAATAGCATCTAGCATGAGTGATATTTTATAGTTGTTTCTTCTTCTATTTATTTTTATGCTTCCTTTCAATCTCTTTTTATTTTTACCATGCTGACAATTATAGTTTTTCTCAAATAATTACCTGTGTAATTATTATTCGAACTCAATCGTTAACTGAGGTAATTGTTCGAGGAAGGGTGGGTAATTAATCATGTAAACAATTATTAACTTCTCTTCAATATTATTAAAGTCTAATCTGCACAAATTTTTCAATGTTTTCATTTTTGGTATTAATCAAAACAATAAAATAAAATTCTACTATCACTTTTAAATGTAGATATAGTAAATATATGCAAGTAATTTTTTGATAATTGAAACAAATAATAATTAACAAAACGCCAAAATTTATAAGTACTGATCACGAAAAGTTTTTTTTTAAAATATCGAAATATCGAAAAATCTCGCGATATTTCTGACTTGACCGATACGAGATCGAGATCGATAATCTCGAAAAATCTCGATATCGAAAAATCTCGATTTTTTCAAAAATTGATCGAGACGAGATCGAGATCGATAATCTCGAAAAAAATCTCGCGATATCTCGAAAAATATCGTCGGTATATCGTCTCGTGACGAACACTAGTATTTATGTTTTCTTTTGTTTATCAAGTACTAGTATTTATCTGCGAGAAAGGTTACAAAATGTATACAAAATTCTTAAGTTTATTTAAAATAAGAATAAATTTGACATGGATTGCGTATATTTTTATTGTTTTAATGTCTTTATTGTTTTACTTTCCCATATTTTTGCCTCAGTGCTTGGTATTTCTCTCCTGAACCGAGCATCATATGTGTAGAACAAAACCATATTGGAGACCTTATGTTGCACATAAATTGTAGATTTGTTAATCCATCATCTCTAGAACAACATCCAGGAGTTAATTGGCAATCGCAAACAGCGCATGTGAAGCAACTTTTGTGCACTAAAAATATTTTTTTTTGATAAAAAATTCAAATTAATGAGGAAATGATTATTGTTCTGCTTACATAAATAGATTACCTAAATATTTTGTGGAGAGGGGGGGGGGTTTAATTTATGGAGAGGAGGGTTTTGTGGAGAAGGGGGTAAAAAATTTTCTGGTGTGGGCAATTATTCACATTTGATCTACAGCTCTTTTAACGCTTGATTTTATCGTGTGTTTTAAAGAGCTGTAAATTTATTTAAACAACTTTTAAACAGATTCTGATTTTTCTGATTTTTAATAAAATATTTATTTAACTCACTAGTATACTTTTCACATTGCACTTTGTCTTCAAACACGCCAATCCAGGTTCAACAAACGTGACAAAACTTGGGTGTTGGGCTTGTTCCGAAATTCATTTTTGGAGGATTTTTCGGCCAAATTTTAAATTAAATTTTTCGAGGGGAATAAGTTAAATGACTAAAAGATTGTGTTTTAAATTAAGAATTTTTGGACTTTTTTCTATTTTAATATCCTTCTCAAAAATCAAACACATGTTTTTTAATTCCTTTAAACCCAAAACTAAATGAACATAGACCAAAAACCCCATAAATAAAAAATCTTTGTGACGAAAAAAGACGGAAATGGTGACAGAGTGTACATATATTGAGGAGCACATGTCAACTTAAATTTTTAAAGCTAATGATTGGGTGAGAATGAAAGTATTCTATCAATGAAATATTTATATTCAAAATTAATTTTTTCAGAAAATTTTAGTTTTTTTTATTTTTTTATTTATCTTTTTCAATTAGCTGGCTAGAATTGAAAATAGAATTCGGTGGTATATGTAGATAATAAAGACCGCGATTTGATAATCGGTCTAGCTTCGAGATAGTTATTTCGATGTCTATTACTTTGATTTCGTTTGGTCTGACCTTTAATTTAGATCTGGAATTAATTATTCTTTTATTTCTGTTATACTTATACCTAGGTCTTAAATAAAGGCCCCTTGCCATCAATAGGACTATGATAAAGAAATCACAAATAAAGGTTTACTCTCCGTGAGTTTAATAAACCAAAATTAATTTTAAAATTATATTAAAAATCATTTAATAAAAAACATTTTCTGGATATTTTATTTGTTTTGCAAAAATTTTATTGGTTATTCATTCTAGCCAATTTTTCTCTCAACATTTGACACTTTTCTCCCGAACCAAGCATCATATGAGTCGAACAGAACCATAAAGGGGAACGTTTATCACACATAAATTGCCTATACATCATCCCATCATCTCTCGAACAACTTCCTGGTTTTAATTGAATATCACAGATGGCACATTTGAAACAACTTTTGTGCACTAAGAATATGTATGAAAATTTATTTGGAATTTTTGTTCAGTTTTGTTTAAGTTTGTTCTACCCTAATTGCATTGGAATTTGTGTCTGTAATGCGAGGGGAATTGTTTTGAAATTACACTTTAAAAGGAATTTTAATTAAAATCCGAAAAATTTTTAAGGTAGAAGGAGGTTAAAAGGTTTTGAACTATAATTTATTGGAAAAATTTAAGCATAAATCCCGAAAGCTGAGATCATTACACGTGATTCCCTGTGATTGATATCTAGAGCAACACCTTTAGGTCGCGAATCCTTGTGCACTTGATTCCCTATAGTGGGGATATTAGTCTGACTTTCCAATATATAACGAAAGGTCCAAGTTGGATCTGTCTTTATTTTCAATTTGTTAAACTATAGGTGATAAAGATTATTGACAACACCTATATTCGCCTAGAATGTAAGTTTCGCTTGGCGATAAAGGCGAATAATATAATCGAAATAAAAAACAAACTTGTAAATTTTTCGCATTGTACTTTATCATCAAAAACTTCAATCCAATCACGGCAAACATGACAGAATTTTTTAGTTGGCCCTGTACCGAAATTCATTTTAATGAATATTAATTAAATTAAATATTTTTGGTAGTTGGAATGGAATTTTATTGAATTTTTAGACATAAATGAAGTCACTCAAATTTAAAACTCACAGAAAAATAACTTAGCAATAACAGCTGTTTGATTTTAAATAACTTTATTTTTTTAAATTTACCCATAGCCGCCTACTCAGATTGATCGGGCAGAAAAAGCAAAATAATATGGATCAGGAAAATGAAAGGAACACTGAGATTGATTCTATTTACATTAAACAAAGTCAGTATAGAATAAAAGTTGAATCACTCAAAATTGTTCAATATATCCGGTCTCTACAAACGAAAAAAGTTTCAACTTCAGGAATTAAATTTCCAAGTTCTTGAAGACTTAATACAATCAAACATTGACACAAGATACGATCTTCTGGAAAAATTGTCATCTTACTATGCCATTTAGTTCAAATAGAGGGGTATCTCTTAGAAGGTTCTCCTCTCACCTAACCAATTCTCTAAAATATCTTGTATTAATTCTGAAACCATCTATAATTCGGGCTAAATTTAAAATTTCAATAATTACATTAATTTACAGCTAAGTATATTTTCAATAATTATTAATGTTCGACAGAGCTATAGATTTATTTTAAATTCCAAGAATAAATTTCAGAAATAAAAAGTTAAAATAATATTAAAATGAAGAAAAAATTATGTTAGAATGACGTTAATTTATTCATTATTTATCACACTTAATATTTACTTTATCTTTTCAAAACTTTCTTTTTTTCTTTATTTATTAGACTTTACTGCATCGACAATTGCCAGCCTTGCAAGGGAGACCAAAACATTCATCCTTTTTAAATAATAAATTTATTAACTTTAAATAAAAATATTTTTGAAAGGATCTAAAACAGAGGCCTTGTTACAAGGTTTGAAATTACGGTCAGGTTATCATAAATAGCAGGTTAGACTTAGAATGTTCTCAAAACCTTCTCAACTTTTCTCAAAAATACAAAAATGTATTTAGGAATTAATAATAAGATATAAGGGGATAGAGGGATAAAGCTTAGACATTCTATGCATTGAGTAATGTAAATTTATAAAATTATTATTTCCACTTACATTATTCCAATTGCAAGACTTTACACCACAAAATTCGGTTCTAACTTTATGAGCATTTTCATAACCATGCTTTTTATAGGCTTGTTCGCATTGGCAAAGTTTAAATTTGCTGCAGGCGTCTTTTAAACCGCCACAGGTTTTTGAGTCTTCGTGTTTGCCTTTGATCAGAGAAAATTAATTTTTAAGTAAAATTAATCAAACTTACATATAAGTCCGGTACGGCATTTAGAACAGTCACACTTGCCTATTTTTGTCCCTCCAACACACTTTCCTTTAACCCCGCAATCAGCATCACTAAAACATTTTGCACGTTTAATGCATTTTCCGGCAAAATTCTTAAAAAATTTTCAATATGAATTTTAAATTAAGATACGTTCGGAATCCGAGAGTTTGATTCATTATAAAAGAACCTAGATAAGGAAGTCTTACAATGACGTCCTTGACGCTTGGCATGCTTGAAAGACAATGGAGATGGAGCTGGGCCTTGAACAAGGCCTGGGTTTCCTGTACCCATAGTCCAAACCCAGGAATTTTTCGACCTTACTGGGGTTTACATGGACATGTGTTTTTCTTGGACTCCAGTCCCAGGAACCTGCACAGGTCAATAAATCAAACTCCAAAGTCCAGGAACAGGCCCAGGCTTTTCAAAAATTCTCTACAAGACATATAAAGAAATTTTTACCGGGTATGGGCATTAATATTACGGAATACTAAAGAATATCTGCTTACACACCCGGATCTTATCAAAATACCCAGTTTACGAGCTACTGGATCGGGGCAACCATGTCCTCAGCCTGTTATCGAACTATAATAATTTTTAAAAATTAAAAAAACAAACAGCAGCAGGAGGGGTGCTGTTATTCTCTCCATCCTCTCGGAAGAACGCAACCTCGTCCTCAAACCAAGTCTCATCATGACCACTCTTAACATATCTTTCCTCTACCCCAATGACTCCAAAATTTCCAAATAAATTAAATAGGGAGATAATAAATAAAGAAATTAATAAATTGGGGGTGAAAATCATTTTATTAAATTATAAAGGTCTCAAATTTTATAAAAAAAATTTTTGTTTAAAATAATGGGTTGAATAAACTCAGGGGCGTTTATATAAAAAATTTTTGGGCAATTAAAAATTTTTGACATTTTATTTTTTAATAAATTATTAATAAAGTTTATAAGCTTATTCATCTTTAAAGTTGATAAAATAATATTTAAAAATTATTGCAAATAAATATTGTATGTTCTTATAAAAATTTTTGTTGTTAATCATTCTTATTTAGTAATAAAATTTATTTTTAAAAGAATTATTTTTTAAATAACTTTGAGTGGGTTTTAAAATGTTTTTTACTGAAATTATTATTAAATGAATGTCATTTAATAATTATTTTTACATATTTTTTAATGGAAAATATTTAATTATGAAATTTAAAATGTTTTACTTAATTTATTCTGTTTTCGACTTAATTAATTTGTTCACCATCCCTAGAGAAGTTAACCATTAGGGCTCGGATTTTTAGGTTAGCTATTAAGAATATCTATTGAGAATATCTACATACGATTACTGTTTTGTAAATCAAACACAATAAGCATTTTCTAAATCCAATTTATATTTAAAAAATGACAGAATATGAGAAAGTTTAATGTTTGTTAATAAAATTTTAAATTTGAAATTAAAATAAATTATATAGAAAAGTTAAATTTAAAATGGTTTTTGAGAAAATAATCTATAAAAGTTTAAAGAAAGATATATTTAAAAACTTAAAAAGATAAACCATTAAAAAGTGACAATATCAGAATCAAAAAAAATTTAAATATTAATAGATGTATCTGACCCATCCTTCAAAAAAATGACGAACCAACTAGAATGAATGATCAGGGTGAAAGCATATGTTTATCAGTTCTACGATATAAAATCTAACAATTAATATAATCTAATTTAGTTAAACAAAGGAAACTACCGAAAATTTGAATGATAGTTATAGTTGAATGTTAATAAAATGTTAAAATTAAAATAAATCATAGTGTGAGGATATTTAAAATAAATTTAGAGGGAACAATTTGAAAGTTCTGTATAAAAGAAGCTTTAAAAATAAAAACCAGCAAATAGCAAAAAAATTAGATGCTTTGAAAGTCGATTGAAATATCCATTAAAAAATTTAGAAATTCTGCAAAAATTAAGAGTTGGGGACGACTTTTGGGGATACAACTTTTAGGGACCCGAACATAGGGATCGGTACCCGACACTTAGGGACCCGACCATTGGGGAACACTTACCTATTTGTGGACGAAATAGAATTTTAAAAAATTATGAAAATATACTCAAAGTATATGTCGGGTCCCCAATGGTCGGGTCCCTAAGTGTCGGGTCCCCCAATGGTCGGGTCCCTAAGTGTCGGGTCCCCAATTGTCGGGTTCCCAATTGTCGGGTCCCTAAATGTCGGGTCCCCAAAAGTCGTCTCCAACTGTCGAATCCACAAAAGTCTGATTCCCGAATGTCGGGTAGCCCACCCAAATATGTATCTAAAAATGCTACTAAAATAATTTCTCTTTTCAAATACTTGAGAAACTTCAAAAAACATTCTTTTAACATTTTGATTCCTCTTCAAATTCTTTTTATTCGCCAGATTCTTCTATGTATTTACCATATTCTTTTTCCCAAAAATCACTAGTCCCTATGTCATCATCAGAAGATGAGGGTTCTTTTAATACGTCGGCTATTCCCTTTCCTTTTCCAATTGGTTGTGGATGTTGGATTTGAGTACTGGTTGATGGGTTTTCGAGTGGCGTATCTTAATTTATTATGTATAGAATATTTTATTAAATACAAAAGTGTGCCTTTGATTGTTATCGGTTGATTTCTATTTTCAAGAGAACGTCGAATTGCTTCGGCTAAATCAGCATCGTCGGAATCACGGGTTTGTTGTCCTTTTGTTGCTCTGAAACCACCACGATTTTTACGTTCCTGTTCCGTTTTAGGAAGCGTAATTTTTCTAATTTCTTTTACTTTATTCTTGAATGCACGATCTTGAAGTTCTTGTTCTGTTTTTTAATATAAAGATTACAAGTATTTATGCCCATCTCAATTAATTTATATTTTATTTTAAAATGTAAGCAGAATTATTTTATATTTATTTGTGAAAATAAATACATATATTTTAATTAAAAGTTGCAAATAGCAACGGCGACAATTTTTCGAAAGCTTTGGAATATGATTTTATTCTTACCTTTATCTTTTTCGGTTGAGACACCTTAATTAAAAACTCTAAATTGTTTCAAAAAATCTTAAGTTAACATTTTTTAAATCTTTGAATTTTCTCTCTAAAGAAAAAACTAAATCAACAGAACAGAACAAAAATTTAAATTAAGAAAGAAAAAAACCTACAACAAAACAACAGCCAGAAAATATTTTTTTCAATACAGTATTTCGAGCTGTACGTTTACGACGCATCAAATAAGTTTCATCCAAATTTTTTCCAACATTCTTAAAAAAAATTTAACAGGAAATTGTTAATTTTATATTTGCCTATTACAGTGAAATCTGTTTTATAGCAAGAAAGATTTGGTGGGATAAAGGGTTATACGGGATTTGGAGAGGTATCGAGAGATTTAAAAGGATACTGTAGAAAGTGTCAAATATTTATTGGATCCCTCTCATTTAAACTTTGAAGGAATCCTAATATAAAAGAATACATAATACTAATATAACGGAGTAAAACAAATATGGTTACGAGGTTTTTGAAAGAATATGTAGGAAAATAACTGAAATATGCAACTTTACTTTGCAACATATATCTCCCCGGGATGCATAATCTGAACGAGGCCAAAATTTCCTACGCAAATTTTCCCAGGTAATTTCTATCTATTAAACTAATAGTTGTACTATTACCACATTTCCAGGTTCAATTTGAGTTGTTCGTTTCTTTGCTTGACAAAAATCCTTGCACAACTGACTTTCACATTTGGCAATCTCTTGATTTTTAACAATTTTTTCACCTTTGTACTTGTTAGATTTCCGACATTTATTTAAATCAAATAAAATAAAAATTAAAAATAGAAAAATAAAACAAGTTGACAGTTTCATCTCTTGAAAATAAAATATAGTAAAGTCATTATGGTCCCAATAAATTTTCCGCTCTTAACATTATAATCGAATTGTAAGACCCAATCCCGAGCACTACCGATAAGTTTAGAATCAGGAACCATTTCCAAAGTGAGAAAACGGAAACTTAAGGAGTCGGAGAAACAAGAAAACAACACCAATCTAATTTAAGAATTTTAATAAGGTGGCTATAAAAAATTCAAAAAAAATACTAAATAAATTTTTTTAAATGAATAAACATTTTTTAAATTGTATATAATAAGAAGGGATGCCTGATTAAATTAAATGGAGAGTGCCTAATTAAATGGAGAGTGTCTTGTTGGCAAACAGCCGCTCACGACTCGTAATAAGGCCACATTGCACACAAGGTTATGCTTGCTGTTGAAAATCGAATATAGCTGTACTATATGCGTAAATAAATTTATGCAGCGTTTAATGTAAAAAAATATATAATGTAAATGTTCTTTATACATTTTTATGTTAAAGTCATAAAGGCACTTAACATAAATATTTTAACCAGGCTGAGGAATTAGTAAAACATATATGTAGTAAGCGGTGTGGTGTACTGTATTAAATAAACTGAAGATAATGCAGAAACTGAATATTATGTAATATTTAAATAAATTTTACTTTCTATAGATTTGTTTTTGGTATAGCTTTACCCATGACGTCTATAATGAATAATTAAGATTTGTATGGACTTACAAATATATTATTTAGTAAAGATAAAATTTCAATGTTTAAAAATGTTTAGTATAAGAATAGGAATTTTTGGATTCCTTATTTTATTTCCAAAATAAAAGTCGTAATCTTTACTTATTAATATCAACGGTACGGAAATTTGGACAAAATTTGAACGATTTTTAACAATGTCGCAAGCAATAAGGAAACATACTGTAAAGGAAGATCCCCATCAGGGGTGAGCGCATTGCGTTTTGCGTTATTTGCGTTAAATTTTGGCCTTGCGTTGCGTTTTGCGTTTTTTGAGATTGTCTCTTATGCTCATCCCTGATCCCCATCAACTATTTACTTATTTATGTAATTTCTATTCTTATCATCATCATAATCAGAGGTCGGTCGGAATTCAGATTTCGAAATTTTTATCCTTCCATTTCTGAAATTTTGGAAAATTTTTGATTTCCGAAAATTTTTAAAGCATATTTCCGACTGAAGATCTTCCAAAATTAAAAAACTTTTTTCTGCGGCTGAAAAGGGTACAAATCTTGCTCCGAGGCCTTCCAAAATTCTTAAAATTTTCGCTTGCTGTTGAAAATGGAATATAGCTGTATATAATCTCTCTCATTTAAGAGATTCTTCTTAATAGACAAATCCCGAAAATCAGACTTGAGCAGCTCGACTGTGGCACCACCCGCTGCTCCAACAAGCCCAGAAAGAATCTAATTAATTTAAAAATAATTTTATCTTCAACGGATTGTGTATAAAATTAGTAAAGGAAATGTGGAGAAAAAATTTTTAAAATCGCCCACTGCAAATTTTATCATCCCTGCTCGAGGATAAAATTCCTCTTAATCGTAAAATTAAAAACTATTAATTTTTATAATCTACTTTAGTTAATAATAGACAAATATGCTAAACTACAATGACGGGAAAATTGAAGAGAAATTATATGTTAAATGTTACTAAATGTTTAAATTAGAATAGATAATATGAAGATGTTACTTTTATGTATGATAAATCTTGAAGGAATAAATCAATCAAAAGTGTTGGACAAAATTAATTTTTTAAAATAAAAAACCCAGCACATAGCTAAACTATCAGAAAAATCAAAAATGAATTTAAATGTTCATAGATGCATCTATTATTGCTACGAAAATAAAATTTTTTTAAATCCTTGACAAATTTCAAGTAGCAAAAGAGCAGTGTAATTGCTAATTTTTACTTGTTTACTTTAATATTTTACCATCATC